ACATTATTGAGCAGTCATCTAAACAACAAACCAGCATAAAACATGACATTTTCATTAGTAACTCATTTTGTCACTTTAATTTTCAATGTATACACATGAACAGCTATCAGCAGATGCAGTAGATGGATGAGTATTTAAAATGCTGTGAAGGTTACTCCACTCGTCTGCACACACATCTGATGCTGAGTCACAGAGTCGCTGAGAGCACAAAGCAAGAAGAGTGGATGACAACATACCAGGAGGTAGTCGGCCCAGATCTCGCGGGCGGTGTCCAGCCCGGCCTGACGGAGCTTCATCACATGTTCATAACGGAGATTATTCCAATGTTTAGGCCCCACCTCCTCCTCAAAGGAACTGAGACAAGCATAGGCCACTTAGAAAAATGTCTCACACACACACACTGAAACACTCAGACTCACTCAGTACCTGGGTTCATCTTCAGGTCTCCACTCCACATAGTGATAGTAATTCTGCACCTTGATGAGCCAGTCTCTCAGGATGGCTGTGGTGTTGTCTATGTTGTGATCTGTCGCCACCCTGTGGGAGGTTGAGACAGAAAAAAAAAAAGAGTCACGTTTAACTGTGCACCTTGATCTGCTGCACCACCGACTGTGTGAGACAAATCCACCGTTACCTGTGGCCATGGGGCGGAAATATGGATAAAATCTGTGGTATTTAATATTACAGCTGTGATATAACAGGAATACACTGATCCAACAAGAGAGAACAAGTAAAATCATAAAGGTTTCCTTGTACAACTGATTTTAAAATTCCACATTTATTCATTTGCATTCGGCCACAGACTGAATTTTGAGCATTGCAGCAGTCTCAGTGCATGAACGTGCCTTTCTTATGAATATCTGCTGGCAGTTATTGTTCTGCCACTCATATGGTATTCTCACAGCAGGGGTCCCATTGTTTTCTGGTCCACATTCATTTATATCAGTGAGGTAATGTCTCTGCAGAAATAGTAACAGAAACAAAGAGATGTGAAGTTATATCCTCTTTATACTTCACATAGAAGAATGATCCCAATCAGTTCCATGCAGTGAGACAGATATATTTCAAATTAGGGAGAAAAGCAGATCAGTTTAGATCAGTTTTCTCCGATCACTATATTGGAATAGATCCAACAACATCATATGTATCCGGATACAGTAAATTTTTTCGTACATATTTTTGTTTAGAAAACAAATTAAATGGTAAATGGTTTTTATTTATATAGCTTTTCTAGTCTTGATGACCACTCAAAGCGCTTTACATTACAGTGCCATTCACACACACATTCATACGGTGCATCTATTAGCAGCACATTAACAGCACTGGCTGAAACAGAAGTTCAAACGCTAACATATTATGAAGCAGTTATGGTGGAAATGTTGCCAGAACCTGCCTGGTTGCACGTCCAGAGAAGCAGCATTAGCATTCATTTGGGGCCAAAATCTCCTGCTGTCTGGTGCTGGGCAGAAACAGGTTTATCAGACAGATTTTGTATTTTTTTACAGAAAGCAGCTGCCAACTGCTGCTGCTGCTGCTGAGAACAATACTGATGGGGAGCGTGAAATATGTGAGCTGGTTAACTTGTGACGGACGACGTTTCAGGACACCCAGATGTTTTGAGCATTTCATTGAAGCTCGGCTGAGGAGAATAAAGACGAGTGGTACAAGAACACTGTTTAATGTTAGCCCAATTCTGAAGGTTATCTTCTCTGCAGGTGTATTTAAACACATAGAGAACTTAATAAAGTGAATTCTATTGGGAATCACATTGTAAACCATAAATCTCCAAAGTCACCTTGTGTATTTTCATACTCTCCCAAGAGACGACCATGTACCTTGTAACTCTGTTGTTATGACTAACTCACTCTCTCTCTCAACCGGAGGCTCGGTTTATCATATCCATTACGAGCGTCTGGTCTGTGCTACGACCTTGGTCTCTATGGCAACTGCCATTTGGGACTGGTCCAGCTGGACCCTATCAGTATCTGCACAGCCTTCCTCGGGTCATACCAGGATCTACTACTTTTAGGGCCTACTTCTAAGGGACCTGTGAAAACAAATGCAACTTGAAGAGAAAGAGAGATTCCCTCACAGACGGCAGAGCTGGGTGACAAGTCTCTGCAGGCGCATCACTAGTGAAGCCTTTTATATTGCACATAGTCATTTAATCCAGTTTTAACATAAATAATACTGAGATATGAAGCTTTAGAGATAAGTGCACCAACACCTGTATAAGACATCATCCATCTGTCCATATATAGATATCTACTATTTACAACAGTGTAGTGTTTTGAATTTTTTACGATTTGGACAAGTGATACGTTCAATTTTATTTAAACTTTGAAGTGACCAGCCCTGTGTAGCAGCAGCGACTGTGACGTTGATTACCACAACAGCATGTTCACAACTAGTGCAACAACAACTGAATCTCCAGTTCAGTCTTCTACGTACAGAGTCGAGCTTTTGAAAGGTGTACAGCTCTTTGTGCAGTAGCTTCACGGTTCTGCAGAGCCTGTCTTTACTTCCTGTGGATAAATTACTGCAGGTCACATTTCCAGTTGCAGACAGATAGCTGCATTAACAAAACAGCCTATTCCAAACAGACAGGTTTAGAAGGCACACTGCACTAGTTTAGATTAAACATATACAAAGGCGTAAATCATCATAAATGCTGATACTGCTGAAAGTAAACCAAACCGATATCACATTTTAAACTGCAATATCCATTTCCAAGAAAGCACTTCTTCTTCGCCACTCCAAAACAGCAGATCTGCAGCACTGCCACTAGCAAGAACTGTTTTTAGAGCGGTCAAGCGGAAATGATTTCCGGCAGTGTAGCATCAACCAGAGCTAGCTAAAAGGTCAGCAATTTGGTAATATGTCACATTGGAAAGTCCAACATGAAAAAAGGAACTTCAGTTGTGATTGTCAAACTAGATAATAAAAGAAGTTCTATGTTATTAATTCTCTGTATGTATTTGTTTTAAAAACATACTTCTGTTAAAAATATATCAAACAAGTTATTATTCTTTAAAAATGCACTGGTATCAAATCAGTGTTTGGTATCGGCCGATAAGCAAAGTCTAATTATTGTAGTCGTGAAGAGAAAAATGGTATCAAAACATCTCCTAGGATGAATCATGGTGCCGGTGTTATATTGATTTACTATCCTTTCGCTTTTCATTCTCGGAGGACCTCGTTGCCATTAGAGCAGAGTTGAACATCAACAGCATCAGGAGTGCACAGAGAAATCAGACAATGGGGGCTGAGAAGAGGAGGAGCAGCGTCTGTCTGTTGTCTGTGTTATCACAACAAATCTCAGTGTGTGTCAGTGAGGGAGGGGCAGACATGCAGACAAGCCGAGAGAGGAAAGGAATGTGCAAATATGAGAGAAATGGATTTACTGAAACCCCTGTCATGTAGTGAGTGACAGTCGGCATGCCGCGCCTGTTAGTTTCCCATCTGTCTGCGGCACGTTAACACAGCAGTGCCGTCCCCGCACCTGCATGTGACCAGCTTGCCGATCCATCTTCCTTTTCCTCTCTGTTTCTCTGCACCTGACCAACTTTCCCTCCTCATCTGACAGAAACATCTGACTGCTGTGAAGTTTACAATAGAAGTTTTCAATGGAAGAGGAAGTGGATAAAAAAAGCTTTTATGGAAATATCTGGGACATTTGCATCTCTGGCAATAGAACCATGCCTGACAGGTATGCGACTGTGAAAAGAAGCAGATGACACAGGGGGAAGATGTATAAATTAATAACATCCATCATGCATGCCCCTGCAGAGCACACGCTCACCATAATGCAGTTTGCCTGCAGTGGGTGTGTGTTGCCGCTTGCCAAGCACTCCATCTTATCTTGTCAGGCTGATAAGTGCAGGTATCAACTGGTGGTGGGCCAGCAGCTCAGTTTATGTCTTTCATGCTGCATTTCAAAACTTTCAAAACTTCCGTTCATCCATGAGAGACAAAATGTGCTGTAGATGAAAATAACCACAGAGAAAACTGGGCCCAGGCTGCCACATGGCCACAGTTTAGGGTCTCACACACACACACACACACACACACTCTCTCTCTCTCTCACACTCACTCTCTCTCTTGCATGCACGCACACACACAGGGGGAATTTCTGGCACAGATGTGAGGGGAAAAAAACTGAACATCGGGCTGGTTTGTTGAAAGAGACACAAGGATGGTTGGATGCCTCATTTTACCACTGAAAGAATTCAGCTCAACATTTAGATGAATTACAGCAATTATTCAATTCATGTCACTGAATATTTAAAATGTTTAGTCTGAAACTCACATAAACTGCATTTAGACATGCAATGAACTCCAGATAATCTCCTGACATTCTCCAGAAAATGGCTGGAGATCCTCCGGAGGATACCGCAAGCTTTCCCAATAGCTTGCATGAACATACGACAGACGCAAAACTGAATAAAAATGACAAAAACAATACAAATATCTCTGGATGAAAAGAAAATGAATCTGAGTGGACAGTCTCCTGCTGTTTTGTTCGTGTGTGAAACGCCACAGAAAGTCTAGACCACGTTGTCTGGACATTCTCCGGAGTTCATGTCTGTAAAATCTTAGAAATCACTTTAAGCACCACTCTACTGTTCTGTCTCTGTCTTTCCTGGGTCACTGGGTTGCTATGAAACACAATCCTGCAGCTTTGAATGCTGAAGGAGAGATTAACCTAATCTTTCAAAATACATCTGGAGGCAGAAACATCAAAAAAGACAAGAGGAAGCGAGCAGTGCTGGATAGAGGAGTGATCAGGAAGGCTGGTGACAGAGGAAGGTTAAGTCCTGCAGAGGCTGATAATTGGCAGCTTCACACACACAGTTTGTTTGCATATGGATTGTTCCAGATTTTGACAGCTCAGGTGGTGCAAAACTTTTATTCTAAAAACAAAGAATACAGCTCTGGTTTCCTGCCGAGTCTGCGGCGCAGATATATGGAAGTTGGAGAGGGAGGGGGAAGGAGGAAAAAAAAGAGGAAGGGGTGGAGGTCGGGGAGAAAAGGAGAGAGAGGCTCTGTGACTGAATGGAACTTTTTCACGGGGGCACCACTCCGCTGCAGCAGCCCGCCCCTCTGCGCATCGCTCCAGGGGCCAATTCCATGAGACACCCCGGTGCGCGCACGGAGCCACGCTGCTCTGACTTCCACTCATTTTCACTTTAACTGTGGAAATAAAGCGACCATCACAGCGGCCCAACATGGCCTCATTTCAATAGATTAATTTCAGGGCTGGACGCGTCTTGAGTGCGTCTTCCATGACGCCAAACCACACTTTGTGCTGCGTAAGCGTCCATTTAATATTCAATGATAGACTATTATAAAATAAGTTTTGGCACGAATGATAACATTGCATTTATTGGTAATTGAGGCTTGACACTCACCACAGCGCAATGCGGTCCTTCGGGTAGTTAAGGCGCTCGAGGGCACCGAGGAACAGCGGCAGGGAGTGCGCCGAGTTGCGGCACACCAGCGCGATGACGACCCGGGGAGCGAGGAGCGGGGACTCGGGGCTCCAGCGCTCCTCGGGGAAATATCCCCGGCTCGGGCCCGGCAGGAGAACGAACAGCAGGGCGGGCAGCAGCGAGGTGACCCGGGGCATGGCAAGGAGGGAGAGGACACTGCCTGCTGTGCTTACGCGGCGTTGGGGATGTGGAGGATGAGGGGTCCCGCTGTTGTGTTACGCCGACAGTGGCTACATGGCGGAGAGGCAGGCAGAATTAAAGGGCAGGTCCCGGCTGTTTTTTCTTAAAGGTGGAACCAACGTGCTGCTCTGATGTCGGCAGAAGTGGGACCAGGACGTCCTCTCTGTGCCATGCTCACATACAGTGCATCATGTCAGCAGCTCACACAACACTGAGCTCCTTTCATTCTCCATATTTAACATTTTACATCCATTAAAGCCTGTGGAGTTACAGGCCAGATCCCCCCCCCCCCCCGTCCTCCCCTTTAAGAAGGGACCCAGCTGTAGTCTATATAGGAAGCGACGAGAAAACCATGGGCGTGTCCAATGTGCTCAACACACTGCAGGCCTGACTGTCACGCCCCTGAGACAAAGACACTGCTGAGAACTTCCCAGAAAGTTCTGTTGTTTTGTCTTGAAGAACCTTTAAAATGTCAGGAAAGGAAAGGCTGGTTTATTTGTACAGTCAATTCAACGACATCGTCATTCAAAGTGATTTACTTAAAGCTCCAGTGTGTAAGATTTAGGTGAAAGGGAACTATTGGCAGAAATTTAATGTAGAATAATCCTCATGATGTTTTCACTAGATTATTACATCTAAATTGTATGAATTGTAGTTTTCTTTACCCCAGAAAAGGCCCTTTATATTAAAATACTTCAATATTTACATCGAGGGGGTCCTCTCTACGGAGGCCGCCATGTTTTTTACATTAGTCCAGACTGGACAAACTAAACACCTTTTGAGTTTTTATGAAAACGGAAGCTACCACAGTTTCTGTTTCCTGTTTGGAAGGGGAGGGTGAGATGAGGGGTGTTCAGCTGCAACATGGAATTTCAACACTAGATATCACAAAATTCTACACACTGTACCTTTAAAACACAAAAGGGATCATGACACATGTAAAGGCAACATAGCACAAAGTTTAAAAGAAATCACACAGAGATTAAATGGATAGCGGTGATGCACCTTGACGTTGGTCACCACCCGATAATAATCCAAATGAGGAAGAAGAAGATAAACAAGTTCTGAATAAAACAAGAAATTAAAGAGTGAAAGTAACAGAGTTACAGTGCAGTGTAAGAAATTAGTCTTTATTTTATTAAGCTAGTGCAGTGCCTGTTGTAAACCTGCCTGTTTGGAATGTTCTGTTCTCTTGTCCTGTGTCGAGTTTTTTCATTACAATTTACCTCTGTGTAAAAGCCTTAGAAAAATTGTTAAAGCTTATAAAACCCTCACCCTTATTAAAATATTTGATTGGATAACAATGCCTCTTTTCATATACATTACCCTTAAAAGTATTATTAATTGTTTAAAGGGAACATTATGCAATATGCCATTAAAATACTTTAAGCCTCAGGCTTCACTTCACATCCCTTCCCAAATGTATCAAATTGAGTAGCTGCCAGACAAATAATGGAGTGAGATTGTAAAAATATTTCTCCTGTCACCTGAGGGCATTTTCTTTTCTTTATCAATGATCTTTCCTCTGCTGTTACTGCAAAAGATCTGTAGCCACCAGAACAGTGATTCACAACTTTTTAAGTTCAGTAGCTTCACTGGAAAATAAGCAGCTAACCACTGAGTACCTTTGACATTTTAGTTGAATGGTTTATAAAGATGTAAAGTGCTGAAACAATCAGACACATGAAAGGATTTTGGAGATTATTCATCATAACTTTTATTCATTTAAACATTTAGGGGCCCTCATAGTCTTCTCAGGGCCCGTTAGGTGGTCATGATCCCCTGCCTGAGTACCAATGGTCTAGATCATGTATTTGTTTAGTATCTTAAAAAACATATGGAAAGTGTCTAAGTGTCTAAATTATATATTATTGGAGGAGGATTTGAGAGCTTTAGAGGTTTGTCTTCTTCGTTGCACACTCGATGCGAATCTCTGTTTTTACAGTTTTCCCTGAGCTCCTTCAAAGAAGGCAAAGCTTCTGAAAAGACTCTGGATTCTGGTGAATCTTCACACCACAGCGCTGACAGGCCACAGATAATCCATATCAGCTCAGTGGTCAGGAAAACAATAACATACATTTGCTTTGCTCACGACTGGAAACAGTGGTTATATACCTGAGCTCTGATGCGGTGTAGCAGCTCATAGTATGTTTGCCCAACGTGGCTGTTCCTGGTGTGATGCAGTGGCCAGACACACTGGGGCACTGTAAGAATGCACTATGTAGACATGGGATGCTGTCAACAACCACCTGATTTACCTGCATACACACACACACAAACACACACACACACACACACAGGCACGCACGCACGCACGCACGCACACACACACACACACACACACACACACACACACACACACACACACACACTCTCACACACATACATAAACGAGTGCATTTATTTGAATAGACTCAAACAATAGCTACAATGTAGACAGTCAGACCGGCCGACAGATAGAATCTCTAGTCTAATAGCATACCTGTGATGTGTCTGCACATGTCATCCATTAACTCTGCTCTTGTATGGAGGTGCAGATTTGACAGCCAGAAACAGCCAGCTCTGTCCTACACCCCCAACCACCCTCAAATACCTGGAGCATAAGTCACAAAAAACACAACACATTCATATCCTCAAAAATATATACGCATAACCTTAGAAAATTTGGATTTAAATATGTCTCACAGGATGGTGGATCAGGGGACGGGGTGGGTTCGGCACCATGTGTCTGTTCCTCATGTTGGTCAGGAGATTTGAGCTTGTGGCGTCGATAGAGAAGGTTCCAGGTTGCCCATGACGTCAGTAATGTGCTCTGTTCTACAAAACAGGATGAAATGTAATGATTGAAAGCCGAGACTGACACATCTTGATACCCTGGCACAGATTCTGGCTCCAGATTTCCGTCTTTATATACAGTCTATAGTCTTCACCAGACTGACCCTTCTTGGAGATTTTTCAGGTAACGTGTTAGAGAGCGCTCTCCACCACTATTATCAAAACGTAGAATGTGGGAATATAGTTGATTTCTATGTGACTCTATCACCTACTATCTCAACAAGGGTTCACACGCACACACAGCGGATGCTGTGGGTGTTTGGTAAGCAGCTTTCTCTTCCTTTGCGCATGAATGACAAAGGACAGAGAGAGAGGTTATATGAGGATAAGGTTATTAAATTTTAGATCTCAGTTTGATAAACACAGAGCAGACGAAGCGAAAAGTTTATGTTTACAGTCAATACTTGCGAAACACAGGTATAACTCATACTCAGCAGCAACATTTTAATTAAATAGTAAATTGTCTGTATTTATATTTTGCTTTTCTTATCTTGATGATTTGTTGTTCAGTATCGTGCCCAAAGACACTGGCATGCAGAGGAGTGGGATCAAACCACCCCCCTCTACTGGTTAGAGGACACCCCCCGTTCTAACCCCTGAGCCACAGCCGCCCAAATTAAAAAGAAATCACTATTAAAGAGTGACTGAGGATATCTCACAGAACTCGGAACAGGGACCAGAGAACTATACCAGAACTATGATGTTGTGTCGCTGATATTTATATGCAAGGTAAAGTTAGTCACTTCAATATTGTTCACTGTTACGCCAATCAGTGTCTCCAGGAAGAGTTGCCAGGGCTGTGTGCAGCCTAGACAAAGCATAGCTAAATATTTATTTAAAGCTGAACGATGCTGTGATGATACACAAGTGTAAAACAATTGCAGCTGAGAAAGTCATTATTGGCGCTCCTATGGGAGAAATGTTGGATATGTTGACATGAGTTCAATACATTTTTAATACTCTTTTAATTTCACTTGATGTTACAGTCTCTGCTTTTGCCACCTGGACAAGCTGCTTCTAACATCTGAGGTTGATGAAAACTCCAAGCTGCTGCTGCTGCTGCATCTCTAGAGAACTTTGAGAGTCCATTGTGTACACTGCTTTTTTAAGAGGGCGGGGTTTATATAGATATTGCTAGTGATTGGGCAACACATCTGACGCACCCTCAAAATGAGAGAAAACGTACCTCCAGGTCAGTTGCACACCGTCTAGCAAACATGTCGTTCAGCCAGGAGCAAAACAGTGAAACGTTTGGAGATTAAAACTGTAAGTGTAAATCCATCACAAATGGACGTAGCCACTTGTTGCAGGGGACGGTGAAGTCTTTGTCACATCATCAGCATCTAAGAAACAAATAACGGAACTGCAGACTAATATCAAAAGAAACATCTGGTTAACTGAGTAAATTATTTTCCAGGGTGTTCGGTATAATCACAAGTGTCAGATGAAATCCTGTCAAATAAAAACTCTCTGTCTCTCTCTTTTCTTAGCTTCCTGGATCTATTTCCTTTTCCTCTCTTTCGCACTCATGACTCATGAAACCCTCTTCTCTCTTTTTTTAGTTTCTCTGAGCGTACACCTTGTCATTGTCACCACCTTAAATAAGCCTCTCTGACCTCTGGCTTGTTCCAGCTTCATTTGTTCGACCCCTCTGGCAACATAATGTGGAGACATGGCAAGTTAACAGATGGATGGAAGTGATGGCTTTTTGCTAAATGAGCACATGAAGGACTTTTCATCCCCTGAGGTCACACTGCCACTGCCTCAGCTCACACATCTGCAGCTGACAGAGAGTATGGGCTGAGTGAATTGTCACCAACCTGACAGCAATGGCAAAGAGGGCACGGGGGGGTTTTGCAGCGCTTCACCCATCCTCTCATCACCTCGGAGTCCAGCCATAAAATCCATTTTCTGAGCACGATGTGACTAATATTAAGTGGCACGACGCAGATCAGCTGTAATTGAGCCGACTAATGACAGAGGTGAGCAACCGTAAGAGGAAAATCGTGCACTGCGAAAAATGAACCGCAGGAGCTCTGCAGTGATGCCTTCCACTGCGCCAAACACAATTTCCTGGAGAGAGAGAAATAACCCTCAGCTGTCTGAACAAGGAACGCAGAGCTCTATATAAACTGGAAATACATGCAAACACATGCAGAGACACCGTGGTGTGTTTCATCTCGTCAGTGAGCGAGGGGCCACTACTCAGCCAGTTTAAGTATGTATGTTGTAACAAATAGTGCAGACATAGATAAGTCTAGGATAAATGATGAAGGATAGCATCTCGGTTTTCTTCAAGTCTGTAACAAAACAGTATGGATCTGCTCATATGATCATAAAACAGTACTTATTCACAGATCCCCACTGAACACTGTTTCAGTGCACAAGGACAAAATTCACTTTCCTCTCCCTGTGAACAAAAGGCTCACCAATGTGTAATCAAAGTTGATGTCAGGCTTCAGCAGTTGTAGTAACAAAATCCACTCCCGAGCCCAGCTGGGAAACACAAAGTGCCACTGAAGTGATCACAATTTGAAGATACCCAAGTGAGTGGACCAAGTCAGATTGCAGATGCCTTAGTTCACCTTTGACTAACTTCCACTGGACTGACTATGTTTTTCACAGAGGAAGAGACTGTGGATCTTTGTTACCTCTGCCAGTGAGATTCTGTTTTCATAGGCAATTGTTTGTCTGTTAGTCGCTGGACGGATTAACGTAGATTTACGTATCTTGAAAAAAAGTAGTTGTGGTAGTTGATTGATTAGATTTTAAGTAGATTTAAATGTGCTGTCATTAGAAGACTGTTGGGCCTTGGTGGAGGTATGTGCTCTGTTAAGAGCCATAGTTTTTTGGGGTGTCGCTTCATGCCAAGTTTTAGCAGGAATGATTACAGCAACCACAATGCATTTAAGTATATCAGCAATGTAGTAAGACTGAGCTGATGTGAACTCATTGAACCTGCATACTGGAGCAGTGAAATGTGATTAGAAATGTTGTTTATTTCAAATCTAGTCCTCACTATAAAGAAATTTCAGGTTTTGCCTGTTACAAAGTTTCCATGATTAAAAGTTCATTGACACATACTGAAAGTCCTGTCCATCTCTTTTTAAAGGTACATTTCATGGAGAATTATCTGTGATTAATCTGTGGGATGGCATCACAGTAATATCACACATATCTGCAAATAGAAAAAAGCTCATACTTTATATTTAGCTACACATTAATCATCTATTTCACTTTCAATCACATGATTAAATGAGTCATGACTCACCTGTCAAAGCTAAGTTGTTCTACATGTGCCCAGGATATGAGCAGCTCAAATTATTCAACGCCAATGAAACTGGATCCATTCAAAACAACTCAGACTTGGCAATCAGTTCAGTACATGAAGTATTACTCTATTCTGTACACTCCAACTTGCAGACTATTTCACTTTTACTATCACATTCTAAGTCAGAGCGACTTGAACTTGATTAATAATAAAGATACAACTATTTTTAAACACGGTATCAGAGTTTATATTATATATTTATTAGTTTATTTGAAATTTTAAAAATAGACAACAGTCTTTATTACACACAAAATAATTTAACAAACATTAACAACTACATTTAAGAAGAACTTCATCACGCCAGAAATTTTCATGCAAACTCTGCCAGTCAGTGAAAGAGCCGCTGCACCACCATGAGTGGAAATGGGTGAGAAATGATGAGCAAAGGCCCAGGAAAGAATTTGGCCTCGGGATGTGATGATATAACATAAATCACAGAGGCATATATGTCAGACTGACACTGCAAGGTGATGAATGGCTGCATCTGGTGTAGGCATGTTGGCTAAACTTCAAGTCTGAGATGGAGTCTGAACTGCACATGCATCACTGATCCTGAAACACAGGGTCCCACTGCTCCTCCTATGTGTTCTCTCTGACACAAACCAAACATATCTGAAGGCTCCGACCACCAGCAGCCCCTCCTCCACGAGAGCTGCTTATTTCCTCTCCCTGGATCAGAGGGAGAAGGCCACATGTCTCCGGTTGGTTGACTCAATGTGAGGAACATGAAGAGAGCCTGTCTATGCTCTGCTTGAATGACCTGGAGCCTTTTTGTAAACAACATGCAGCTGTGAATCGTGTAGCACACGGAGTTTACCCCTTAACTGAGGCTGCAACGGACTGTGAAGAAGGAATCTAGTATCAGTAAATCTCTAAAACAGTTTCAGTGCACCGAAAAGTTTAATTCTACTAGTTAGAAAAACAATTATTGATCGAACTCTTGCAAGAAAAAGAAATATTAGTACAAAGCAGGGAGGAAAAGAAAATGCTATTTAATAATGAACAAAATGCTTTTCAGTCATGACAGTGAAATTGGATTTAGAGGTAAAACAATGTTGGATGTTCAAAGACTTAAAAAATAAGTGTGTTCTTGTTTCTTTAATGTGTATTTATCTGTATATAATTGGTGCTGGATTATTCGTTGTGTTTTTTCTTCAGTGTACTTTCAGTGTATTTTCCTCTATTATATCTAGGATGTGACTGTACTATCTCCTTTCCTGTTATTCCCCAGGCCTATAAATGTCTTGTTCTTCCTTCACTTCAGGTTAGTCACCCCGATGAAGGTCACTGTGCTGGAATTAATAGGTGATTTTGTTTTCTTTACCACAATGAAGGCTTCAAAATGCCCAAAAGGGTGGTTGGTTTATTTTATTTTTCAGTATCTTAAACTCACACACACACATTTTCTTCAAACAAATCAACTTTTTCTATAAGACCCCCCCATCACAGTTTTATTTGTCCATGTTTCATATGCAGTTTAATCACAGTGTCATGCAAAGTATTCAAGATGCAGTATTTCACAATAATAATGAATTATGCATGAATGTATTTTTTAATAATATAAAAGAACAATAAGCCCCATTACTTATCTTGTGACCAGTGAATTGTATATCACAATGCCATGAGGGTACCACTGAAGTAAAAGGCTTTAAGCAGACTGACTTATTCCTCCTCTGTACTCCTGAAAGCCACAGAACATCATGCTAAAGGATCAGACACAGAGCAGCTGGCAGGGATTTCACTGTTTTCCACAAGGACACTTCAATAGGGTAGATAATCGCCAGTAAGAGTGTTTGAAGGCAGTTTTTTCTGGTTCGAGTCGCCCCTCTGCTACAGAGCCAAGCCAAACAGCAGCACGGAGAAATCAAATGACAGTGGAGCTCTCAACAGCAACGGCTCGTCCAAGATTTGAACCCTATCTTTTACCAAGACAGAGGGGGCCCCCTCATGACATTTTACATTTTAATTTAGATGCTTGCTGCGACCACAGCAAGAAGATATTTTAACCAAGACGCAGTCAAACATTTTTTCATCCTCTGCAAACATTCATTTTCCTGCCCAAACAGATGCCGCCTTGTGTTAATGCAGGATAAGTTTATCCAAGCAGAATTTAGAGTGCGTTTTTAAAGAGGCACCGAGGTTGAAACTGAGCTGGTAATTATTGTTTCTATCCTTGTATCGAATGTACACGTTTAGATCTCATGTCACATGGAATATTGAACTGCACATAAAGCAAGATGATGGTGGTGTTTCTGTAAATACTGTCAGCATACAGGGCTGGCTAATGAATATGTTGCAGGGGAACATAAACTGAATCTGTCTCCTGTACTGAAAGGTAGGTTAAAGTTGTACTCAAGCAGCAAGGCCTGCTTTATAATCAAATGGTACAGTTTCCACAATGTGGCCACTTTAAGCAACATGACTGAACACAAGTTTCAAACACGCTGGATGAAGGGATGTCTTTGACCTCCCGGTGTTCCAACAGACACAGATGGAGCGGCATTTCAAAGTAATTCTCCTTTTGACAACTAGGAGGAGCTGAGAACATATACTTAAATGGACTGAAGGAAAAGATGGCTCACATTTAAAGTCACACCTGAGTTTCAGATTCATGTGTGATGTAAAAAAAAGTTTAAATGATCAAATAACATAACCGTTACAGGCTTTAGTATGTTTTATTAAATGTATTTTACAGAAAATGGAATTACATGAACACATAGTATAATACAGTGCATTACGGTTGGTTCATTTATGTATGTATACAAACAACCATTCAATCATCAGTGCCCCAGAACATTTGTGTATCTCAAACTGACATTTCATGTATTATAGATTTAATTTAGGGTCCAGAAAAAGGACTATTCTCAGATTTGCAACAACAGACCTTTCCGCTTTCCATGTGGGCCACTTCAGGCAATGATGCAGCTCTTCTGGTCTTCTTATGTTCTGAACAAAATACATGTGAGCAATTTCACTTGTGAAATAGCAAATGTGTCTTTTCTGTCAAAAATACAGTGCTCTAGGTTTACAATCCTGATGTGAACCTTAAGGTTGAACCTTTGGTTGGCATGCGGTATTGCTATGGCTTTACACATTTTGTCTTATTGATCCAGGAAGCAATCCATGTTTCCACAGTCATCAGGGATAATCAAGATGTATTCATTATTTCTAGGAGGGAAATATATCTGTGTATTTTCTTTCTTTCTTTCCCTTTGAAACTTACAGTTCATACTATCCTCTTCAACAGTCTATCTATCCATCCTCCTGCCTCATAGACGCACCTCTCCCTCATTGATGGCACGGTACAGTTCATCTGTAACAGGCTCGTAACTCCCGGCCCGACTGTTCAAAAAATATATGTCTTCACTCGACTCTTGTGGCCTGTATCCTTCTCTCTGTAGCCGCATCTTCTGAATTTTGAAAGTACCTGAGGGCAAAGGTTAAAAAATAAGTTGACAGTACTTTATTAATGAGTGTATTTACACGTCCTTGCCATGTTTCTCACCTGTTGTGTCAACAGATGGCATGAGCCGAAGGAAAACAGGTCGTGCGTAGGATGGCAGAGCTTCTTGTAAAGCGATCCCTAATGCTTCAATGTCAAACGGGCCTCCTGCATGAGCAATGGCTGCCATGCCAGCCTTTCCCTCCACACCTGCACACGGTGACGGAATAAGCAGAGGTCAAAACAATTTGACACCCACATAAAACTGTTAATCTTTTTTTTCCCAGTGTTTTTTGTCTCATTTCTACCTGGTACAGAAATTCCATAGACAGCGACATCAGAGTGTCCCAGCAGGCCACTGAGGACCCCCTCCACCTCTGTGGTGGACACGTTCTCTCCTCGCCATCGAAACGTGTCGCCACTGCGGTCTCTGAAATACATGTAGCCATATTCATCCATCACCAGCACATCACCTGGAAGACAGACAGAGGCAGAAATAATAAGAAGTAGACACTCAGTAGAGTGTATATCTCCGCCAAGGCCCAACATTCCCTTTAAGAAATCCCATTTAAATTCACTAGACTGAGAGTTAATTTGGATCTGGACCAAATGGCACACATTCATTTGTCCCCTCAAGATACCTGATTTTTTTTATCACCAAGATCCATAAATGATTCTCTGGGAAATCAAGGAAAAGTTGAAAAAGATCTAGGATCCACTTGCTGAATTGAATTGGACACCAAAATTGAATGGGTTCTTTCTTATAGGTCACGCCCCACCCCTCCACAAAATTTCATTGAAATCACCTGAGTAGTTTTTGTTTTTTCCCACTAACTGACAAATAAACATAGACGAAAACATAACCCCTTTGGCAGAGGTACTCTTCATCATCATCATCATCATCATCATCATCATCATCATCATCATAATAATTATATTCCTCATTATCATCATCATCATCACCCACAGGGAGTGCAGGGAGCACTGTTAAAAGATTCCTAGTATGTCATCAGTGACTCTCCTTCACCTCAGGGCAATTTAAAGTTAATTAATTATGTGTGTCTGGACTGTTTAATCATCTCTATTCTGACTGTATATTAAAAAGACAGAATAAAACATGCCTGAGACATAAGCAGTGTCTCCGATCTTGAAGACATCTTGAGCTATTTTCTGATTGGTGGAATCCTGATCAGCGTAACCATCGAATCTCCTGAGCGGATCAGTGTGGTTGATATGTCCCATTAACATTCCTGGCTCACCTGCAGAGAGTCAGAGATGGGAGGGGGGAAACATTTCATACTCAAAATTCTACTTTTATAAAACGTTTGTTTGTTTGTAGTGTTGGGGTGGTGTGTTCTCACCAGGAGGACAAGGTACACAGAGTCCCTGTGAATCCCTGAGCAGCTTCCCGTCCTCCTGCATCCTGACCAGTCTGATGGGGTAGAAGTCGGGCAGGATGCGGCTGTTGAAACCACATGACCCCACCTGGACATGTGATAACATATGTACATGAGATAGAATGAAGCTGAAAAAACTCTTCAATCTATACTTAGAGCAACACACACTTCAAAATGATAATGACAGTAACAAACTTATAGGAAGAAGTCTGTCACAACTGCACTATGCAACTCTGGTGCCAGAACATTACGACCTGCTTTACGACATATGTCATACAGCAATAACCGGAGCTGGGCTAGCAGCCATAAGAGACAACTAGTTCTCCATTCTTAATGTGGACATAATGGCAAAAACAAAGAAACATAAGAGGACAATGTATGAGGAAACAAAGAAGAGGAAAGGAAAAACGACAGAGTAAGAAACCAAGCAAGAGTGTCGTCAGAAGCAGGTGAACTAATTTCAATAGAGGTTTAGCAAGTTAGCAAAACAATTCGATGTTATTTGATGCACATCATGCTCTGACATGAAGAAATGCATAGGCTACTTACTTGCAGCGTTAGCTTGTGAGCTTGTATGCTGCTGTTCTACTCTGAGGTGAGTACAGTGAATGTGCAGATGATTACTACCAGACCCCAAAAACTGTGTGAGCCTTCTGAGGTGCCAGTGTCTCCGTCAGCTTGTCAACAAATGCGTGTGTGGCTGCATGCACGAGGAGGCTCAGACTGCAACTCTTATTTACGACAGTGGATAATGCATCCAAGATGTAGGGGGAGTATAGCCAAGAACAGATTTTTTTGTATTGTGTCACTTTAATTCATTACAAAAAGCACAAACACACCTTTCCATCTATGTTGATCAGGCTGCAGTTGCACTCTGTGGCCCCATAAAATTCCCCAACTCTTTGAATTCTGAATCTCTGGACAAACTCTTCCCACACAGAGGGACGGAGGCCGTTACCAAAGGCAACACGGACTTGATGATGTGCCTCAGATGGCCGGACCGGCTGAGCCAACAGGTACCGGCAGATCTCACCTATGTACTGGATCACCTAAAACACACAAGACAGATCAATAATGCCTTCAAAAATGTGACCAGTCAGTATTGATTCAGGAGCATGTTTCCTATGGCAGTGAATACTCACAGTGCACTTGTATTTAAAACAGTCATCCCAGAAGCGAGTGGCTGAGAACTTCCTCCTGATTACAATGGTCAAACCAAAGAGCAAACACTGTCCTACACCCATGATGGTTCCTGTTAACATCCACATGAACGCATACTCACACAGTCATAAATAGTTTAAATTAATAAAGACAAAACTCATTCAGTTTTTCCTAAAGCTTAACATGTGAGCCTTTACTTTCAGTAATCTGGTCAGAAACATGGACTCAGATGTCACCATTCAACCGATTTGACTGTTATCAGACCATTGAATGGGCTCTATCAACACACCTCTGTCCCATACATATGCTAGGAGAAGCCTATTAAACCCACTAGTAGGTTCATGTTGTTGTTATCAGCCATTTATTTCAGTGAGCCAGAGTAAGTGGAGCCAAGTTTGCTTACATGACTGCCACCAACGAAGAAGATGTGTTGCTTATGATGCTTATTAGCAAGGAAAATCTGTCACTCGGGCAAAAGATGGCCTACCTGCAGAATGATACAGTGGGAGGCAGTTGTATATGATGTCATCATGTCGCAGGCCAAAGGAGTGGAAACCAAAGGCAGCGATGCGAAAATACCTGACAGGAAAGATGGGAATAGACTGACATTCATCTTCACCACAGCTCATCTCATCAGGAGACACTGGTGGCTCCTGATTCTAATTGAAACACTTGTAAATGCAGTTGATTATGACGTCATGATTTTAATCTACCTACTGCTCCAAATGTTTCTACTGTAAGTGTCATTAAAAATGTGCTTTGTCCAAAGATGCATCATTGCAGAAGAATCAGTTCAGAAGAGATCACAAATAAACTCACCGACTGTGCACCACCACAGCTGCCTTTGGCATTCCTGTTGTACCAGACGTGTAGATGTAAAAGAGTCTGTCTGCACAGAGAGAGACATAAAAACCCAGCTGTTACAGGAGCTGATTTTCATAAGGAATGTTAAAAATGCATTTCACCTTCATGCTTTGTCTTTTGTTTATTTGCTTTGTGTCTCGTGTGCAGAATGCAACCTCCATCATTCCGTAACATGTTTCTCCCAACCTTTACTCTGTGTGACAGAGCGAGCAAGCAAAGACTTGACAAGGAGCTACTTAGGAATGTTATGTGATCACAAAGGTGAAACAAAACAGTTAAGCAAATCAATAGGAGAAACGTTGACATTCAAAAACTTTGAATTTAGGACATACTGTCTGAAGAAAGAGAAGAAGGTAGGATTCAATTCATTTTGTAGATTTATTTTTCTCTAGATTTAAGTTTAACAATTTAGATTATTCAATTAATAGTACTTGTGGTTTATACGTTGTTTATGTTTCCTGGAATCTGAGGCAACATTGTTGTTCTGGTAAAATAAACAGAATACATATTGTCTTCTGCTCCTTGATAGATCTGGAATTGGGTGCACCTTGTATGCATGTTATGTTTGTGATGATAAAGGTTGGCGAAGTGATATGAGGTATGAGGTAAGATGTGATGTAATGTGATGTGAAGTGTGTGATTTGATCATTAAAAGTTAGATGCAGTGGCACAGATGCAACTGTCTGTTAACTCGTGCTTTACCCAGAAATGTATGTTACAATATCTTTCACAATATGCTGGAATTTTGTATATCAATCAATTTGTGGGGGTTGATGATTTATTAGACAGTCGTATGCACATGAAGAATAGATTCAAAAGAATACCAGAGATTACAGTCTGGCTGTGAGCAGTTTTGCTCTTGCAGGCAAAGACTTGCTGCAGAGAAGAAGATGTTGCAATCAAAACTATTTGATGTGTAACACAAGTCTATAGTCTGGCAACACAGCCATACATACACACTCTTCAGACCCTCACCGTTAAATTCCTTCCTGAGCGTGAAGTTTGGTGGGTGTTTGGGTGAACAGGCCAGCAGGGCATCAAGGTTCTGGACACTGAGGCTGTGAAGCTTCACCTCCTCTTCCTCCTGCTGCTGCTGCTGCTGCTGCTGCTCACCACTGCTGAACAAAACCATGCTGGGCTGCAGAGAGCTGCTGACCTCTGACACAGCTTCAGCGTCGCCAGAAGTTAAACGTTACAAATGCAGAAGTAGCATGCTGCCACACATTATTGCATTAACTGAGAGCAGCAATTTTCATTTTTCTCTTTAGTTAAGTATCAAACTCGACACAACTGCATATCAACTACCCATCACACACAACTGAACTCGCAGCATCTTTATCTCTTTGATTTATGATCTGTTCCCACCTTCCGTCAGCTCTGTCCCAAACACCATTGCCCGAGCACCAGACACACTGATGCAGTGCAGCAGCGAGCGCTGTCGAAGGTTGTAGTTGATGAGTGCGGCCTCCACGCCAACTGTAGCGAGACCCAGCCACAGAGCAACCACTAGAGGCTGGCTCTCCATGTACAAGGCCACCACATCACCCTCAGCCCAGCCTTGTGCCAGCCCCCAGTGTGCCACAGCATGGCATCGCTCCTGTAGTTCCCTGAAACTCCAAACCTGGAACAGAGTGATAAGGGAAAAGTCCAAAGTCCGTGCAGGGTGTTTGTGTTTCATTTCCATGTCAGTGGAGGTGGTGATGTCATTGATGCTGCATTTATTTGTTGTACTTTTAGTCCTCATCAAATCTACTAAAGAGAGCATATAACTTCCATTTCAGCTTCTCATCATTGATTTCCGGTACATTTTAGACTTCATTTTAAGATTTTATTGCTGACTCTTAAAGCCCCTTCTGGACTTGCACCAAAGTACATTTCAGATCTTATGTCACTATGTACGGTTGTAACCTGAGGTCTTCATGAAGGCCCTCTTTATCCTCTTTTAAATCTCTCTTACAGACACATTTTTATAGATGTCTTTTCTCCTAGTTCTGTTCTTACCAAAAATGTTATGTTTTATTTTATCTTGATTTTACTCTTTTCTTATCTCTTTTTATTTCTGTATCTGTGCTCTATTGCTGTGTGATCTTCTAATTTCTTTAATGATTTCCTATTGTTTGCCTTCATGTGCTTTTCAAATAAAGTTTATTATTATATATTACTGGTATGTCTTTACCTCTCCTGTGGCCTCATAGATCAAGGCCGGTTTGTCGGGGTGCCGTGTCACTATCTGGCCAAACAGGGAAGGGATAGTGCTTCTTTTTCGCAGATTACTCTTCATGGAAAACCTCACTCTGAGTATGACAACTAGACACCTTTCAGATGGAGGAAAGACAGTTAGGACTAGATAGGACTAAATAGGACTAGAGTGAGAAACACACATGCACAATCATATCCACACAAACTACTTACATTAAGTCTCTTTTGATGGTGCGTAGAGCCACAAGAATGAACTTACAGGAACCCCTCGAGGCCATACAGAGCACCAGCCCCACCGGGAGTCCCCAGAACAAGGGGAGAGACAGCAACTTTAAAGCCCCCAAAACAGTGAGGCACAGTATGGCCCCACTAATCGGATACATAATGTAATCTGTGGAAATACAAAAAGTGACTCCATGCAGCAATTCAACCAAAACAAACACACTTCTTATGATTTGATGAGAGGAAGCTTATCTATACAGAATTTTCAGCCCTCACTCATCAAGAAATAAAATAAGTACTTGACTTACCAGCAGCAGTTGACTCTGGAGCTCCTCCACAGGTCCTTATAAAGTGAATGTCAGCTAAGTTTCCGGTCAAGCCACAGTGTAGCAGCTCAGAGAAGCTATCTGATGCTCGCAGAGCAGTTGTCAGAGACAGAATGCCTGATAAGTGGCAGTGCTCAGCAGAGAGCAGCGCAGGTTACAACTCATGAAGTCCTGCGTCAGTGTGAAAATGCTCCTGTGTTAGTCAGAGTGATTCATTACCCCTGGGGGCAAGTTGTGATACAATCTCAGTTATAACACCACAAAAATACAAATTCTGAAGCCATTGATGTGGGATTGCTGACAAATGAAAAAGGTAGATGGTAAACAACATTCCTGCCTAAAAAATACATAACCCTAACCCCAAAAAAGAAAAGGCTGAAAATGAATCTGAAGTTTTGGCTTCAGTGTGTAGGGAGAAGATGAGTTCAAAAACTATCTCTCCTAAATTTGGAAAGATATCATCACAATTGCACAGTTGCAGTGTGTGTGTGTGTGTGTGTGTGTGTGTGTGTGTGTTTGTGTGTGTGGTCCTCATATATTCTTATATATTGCTTTCTAACAATTGGAAAACTTGTTGGCAAATTCCAGGCCTTTATGCTGAATCAATTAAAAGTAAACATGGTTCAATGATCTTGCAGAAAAAGCCATGTTCCTTGGTCGTCTAACTTAACTAATGTTAACATGCCGCACAAAGATTTTTCACACGAAGTAGAAGTGAATGTTTTTATTTACTGCTACATGTTCTTTAAAGAAAATACTACCAATGTACAACAAAATAAAGTAGAAAAATAGGTTCATATACCTCCAAACTACAGCATATAAAGTAAATTCTAACAAAAACAATCTTACATTCACAAAATTCTGCATACAGCATGGTAGCTTTTTCACAGAGAAATACATTTCGCAATGCATGAATAATCCATGTCATTGGTCAAGACACAGTTTTTGCACTCACACTTGAGAACCAATCTATACAGATGTGGCATTCATTAGGGTCTCAAAACAAAAGGGAGAAACAATTTCAATGTAAACAAATCACATAAAAAGAGATTTTAATCCAAAATATCAAAAGAATCAATGTCTTTCAGATAATCCAATCAATTTCTATCAAAAAGTTAAAAAATATATATTTGTAGAATAAAACTAAGCTTAACTTAAAGAGTTCTGGTTCTGTAAGTGGGACTGGATGACTCAAGGGTGTGCTGGATGATCATTTTGTACAATTAAAGTGCAATTAAATACAATTTGTACAACTCCCATTAGACTTCATCAACATGGCTGAAGTTCTCATTTCAGGAATGTGAGACCTTACACTCACTGACAGTGTGTCGAGGCACAGGCTAAGTTGTATAATCACATTATGATTGCAGGAAGCTGCAGGCTTATCACAGGGGTGGGTCTGTTTTGTGATTGGTCAAAGCAGTCATTTTGGACAAGATTACTTTGTTTACAATTTCAAGAATAAAAGAAGTTTCATATACACAGATGGAATTAGGCACAGCTCATTTGCAAGCCAAGATAGATTATTAAAAAACAGCCATAAGTCCTTTTTAAAAAAGAACCTATTTTGTTTTAAAGCAAGTAATAACAGACAGAAAATCCTTGCAGACGCCCACATGGGAGGAGCCGTCAGAGGCACTTCATGGGTAATTTTCATCATCAGTCAGTTGTTACCACTGGCACAGCATACTTTTAAATACAGTACATGGAGACAAAGATATTCTGTGAAGCCCCCCTGAGCAAAAACACCCACCTGTCCAGATTTTTACATCAAACGTTTATATAAAACTGAATGCTCATGCTTTAAACAAATTGCCTTGTAGCCTACATAATGTAGACTTCATAGTCTGCTCTTGGAAAATAAATAGTCTGCATCACTATCACTTTTAACCACTCCCATGAGTAATACAGCTTATTCTACAACAGTGATATGTTCTGGTTCAACTGATAAGCTACTAAAATATCTCCACTTTCACTTACAGAGTTCCCAAATAAACACTTTTAGCTTCTCTTTGCTTGCTGCAACAATGACAACATGTAAAGTATTAACTCACACCAAAATAGAAATTCAGTCATTATCAATATACTTAAATTTTACCATTAGTGATGTACATGTATCAGTGGGTTTGGATGTAACTTCTGCAAGTAACATGTTTGTTTAAAGCATAGACTTTATATGAAGATGGACGACACACCTGCTCCCCAAAAGTGAAGCCAAAATTTCTTGATTGCCCCCTGGTGGCTGGCTGCAGAATAGGCCTATAGGAATAGGAATAAATCCTTCCTCTTCCATGTTAGAAGATGGTGCATGGACCAGAGTACACGTCAAGTACATTCTTCTCAAAAAAGGTGTCTGTCATTTTAGGTAGTTCCTATCACACTGATGTAAGTTTTGTTCGTTAGTAATTTTATACCATAAAAATGAGGTGAAACAACATGATTGACAGCTGAGACTGACTCAAGATTGGTCATGCGTAGAACCCCACTATCCCCTGATGCTAACTCTGGCTCCCAATGCACAAGATGGCAGCTTTTATATCCGTATATTTCCGATATTTTGGCTTAATTTTCAGGACAGTGGGAGGAAGTGGAGATGCTTCGTCCATCTTTAAAAAATAGTCTCTGATTTAAAGCAACATTTTTCTTGTGTGTCCTTGGTGCAGGGTTGATGTTAATTTCTCTTTGATGAGGCCTGAGCAGATAAAACTCCCCACTGATTCCCAAGTGCAGTGCACAATCATTGTCAATACCAAGACACTGTATGTTTGTTATTCCTTAATTTAACACCTGTCTGTATTGTGTATTTTTTTTTCTGTACCTTTGTCTAGCATATGATTTTGCTGCAATACACAACAGCAAACCAGAGTTTAAACTCACATTCAGGTGAATGAGTCATGACTGAATTTTTATTTGAAGTGATCCAAATCGTTCAAGGTCTAGGAGGAGGAATAAAAGACGGACCTCTTTATATTTGGGATTCACTGGTGTGCTGCCCACTTTTAGAGCCCTGAACAAACAGAAAGAAGACAGGTTAGAACAATGGTAAGATAATGTGTCTGCAGTGGTGGAAGAATGTAAATAATATTTCACTGAATTAAATTGTTTTTTAGTAGTACCTTGTAAGCTATACTATCGTACTCACTTTTTTAAAGTATGAAACATTATAGTGCTACCTCTAACGATTACCATTGCTGCTCCCTTCATCTTGGTTAAACATTTTCTTTTGTATAAATACCTCTTTTATCATCAATGTTATGTTTGCTAAGCATTGTTCAGAATCACAGGTTCATATCAATATGGAAAATAAATAAATAGGTAAAAAAATACTGCACCAAAATATAGACTTAAAATCATCACACTTTTTCTGTCACACTGTCAATATAGTGGAGTATATATATATGTTTAAGTAACAGCAGTTGAATAAAAGTGATAATGTCTTGGAGATGACAGAGTGTGTGTAATCACTTCATGCTTACTTGTGACTGAGTGCTGGAGGGATTGGTACTGCTGAAGTCTGAGTATCTCTTCTTCTGTGGTTTGCAGATGCAGGAGAGGAAATGTGCGTACTCATCTCTCACCTGCAGAGGTCAGTAAAACATCAGGGATGGAAACAAAAGTCCACTGATTATCTACTCACTCATTTTATACTTTTTTTAAATATCTTGAACACATTTCACAGCTCCCAGTTACACACACACACACACAACCTAACTATAAAATAAATTCTTGTGTGTCAGAGAGTATCTTATGTGCCCTACCTGTTTGGACAGTAGGCAGTGCAAGATGAAGACTAGCGCCCCCTGCACGCTGTTCAGAATAATGAAGATATACGCTGCCACCCTCTTGAAATGCATGGTGCCATCTTGGAACAGTAAGGTCCCAAACACCCACATGAGACCCAGTATACACATCTGGGCTATAGCTGTCACTGTGAATGCTCTGGATGTGGGTGGAAAAGGCAACAGATAGAGAATGAAAGAGATTATTATCATGAATTCAAAGACACTGATGACTCACTCACCACTTCAGTTTCTGGAAAAACCCCTGAAAAGTGAAAGTAGGACAAAAAGGGTTCAACAAAGTATCTACAGGACACAGACAGTGCCCTGAAGTGCCTCAATCAAATCAGCAGCGACCTTATCGATAGCCGGTACGCCCATGCTGTTGTGTTTTGTGATGTGTTATTGTGTTTTCTTATCTGCAATTGTAATTTCTTATTTGCTGTTGTTTTCATATTTGTCGTAGTGATTTGTCGTTGTGATTTGTTGTTGTGTTTTGTGATATGTTGTTGTGTAGTTGTATCCCCATGAGAGAGCAGAGCTGGTAAATATATAAATAGAAAATATTCCTGACGTTTTTCCATCGATGTATGTCTCAATTCCTTTCTCAAGAGAGGACGCACAGAAAACAAACTTTGTCACACAGGAAAACAAACATAGGGACTCACTTGATTTTGTTTAGCTGAGAGACATCCGGGTTGAGGCTGTTGAATTTATTGGCAAGCTTCCAAACAGTGATGATGAAGAAGAAGACATTGGTGCCGATGATGAAGCACACAGGGCCGACAAAACTCCAGATAAGACCGTCCTCCAGAGACAGCCAGCAGCTGGTTAGAAGGAAGCAAGAAAAACATGTTCATGATAAGGTTTTCTGTTCATAGTTGACAGATAACAGCAGGCCTTTGTAATCCACTGATGTAATCGCTATAACACAAGCAAGATGTGCAAACACAGAGGCACACACACTTCCCTCTGTCTGTGTATCTTCTCTGCACTCACTCAAACACACACACACAGTTTTTATCACCACCCAATTTATTTTTTCTTCACAGACTCACAATTTGTCAGTGCCGTATCCTTTTGGTCTAATAATGGCAGATATGATGACGATGACAAGGGGCGTCCCATAACCGGCGACAAGTAGGTACAGGGGTCGGATGGTGGTATTGAACACCAGGACCACCATTCGGTAGAGCTGCACGCCTTCCAGCAACATCCAGGTGAAGACTCCCAAGAAGAAGTAATGGAGCATCGCTGCAACAAACCTGCAACCGCCCTGTAAAGTAATGTGACAACATAAAGAACAACAAGATCAGAGAGGAAGGAGCACTTGATAGAGAAATCTTTGACATGGCATCTACTGCTAATGTGATAAAGATAATCCTTTAAATTAGAAATGTCTAGACAACAGCTTTTTGTAATGATTAAAAACTAATGAGTTTAACGAAATTATTCATATATTTTGTATGTAAAATACAAAAGTAACTGTATTCAGTAATATTTTCTTCTGACATATTGTGGAGATGTGGTGTTCATCAAGGGTCTATTCATGGCCCTTTACTGTTTCTTTCACATTTTACCATTGGATCAAGTTATTAGTAACTTCAGCTTTTGTCCAGCATTTTTATGCAGACATAAGTCTACTTATCCATAAATCCATCTAATCCATCTGCTTCAGTTGCCTTACTGGCATCCACTCTCACCAACATAAAGTTGTGGATGTCCTGTAACTTTTAAATGCTTAATTCAGACAGACCTGAAGTGATTGTGTTTGAAAACTAAACCACACAGGGATGGTATATTTTCAGTAGGGGTTTCTCAGGATCTGCATTGCATGATGCCAGGAATTTGGGAGTAATCTTTAGGGACCTAATGTCCCAAAGACATTTAAGTAAAACCATCTAATCAGCTATCAGTTAAATCATGAATATTGTCAAGATCAGATCACTCCTTTCATTCAATAATGCACAAATTCTCACTCATGCCTGTGTCCCCAGCCTTCTAGATTACTGCAACTCACTATTAGCTGCCTCCAACAACACAGTGTAGTAAGGGTTCTTACAACAAGTCAAAAATATGATCACTTCACACACATTGATTGAATGGCTTTGCACCACTTTACCTTAGACCTTCTTTGTATACCGTTTTTCTTAAAGAGCTCTATAAATAAAGTTTATTTATATCAAATATTCAAGTAAAGCTCTCTGTACTTATGTTTACCTTACGCCACTGGATAAGACACAGGTATTATTTTGGCTCATTCATTGTAATAGGAGAAGAAAACAGGGTTGAGGATTATTATTACAGAGTGGCTGTTATAGAACAGGTGGCTGCTATAGAACAGGAAGCTGAGTGAAATAGGTCAACCCAGTGTAAATATTTCAACTAAACTACATTCTTATTAATGATAAAATAAGCAGTCAGATGATTCCTCCACATGATGGAGGTAAATATTTGCTTTTACGAACATACCACAGTCTCAGTTCGTGAAATGCCGGCCAGGAAGATGAGGTCTGCCAGGAAGAGGCAGATACAGAGGTGCAGGTGGATGGTGGTGCGTGTCCCTTGGATGGAGCGGCAGAACATGAACGTCAGGATGGCCAGCAACAGGCACACGATGGAGATGATCAGCATAATTTTGTTCACCAACAGGAGCCCAAACGTTTCCTAGAGGAGAAGACATGTCAGATCCTGATGTGACTAACTAGACTCATCAGGTGATGGTTCACACTCTACATTTAACAGCTGCAAATAGAAACAGAGTTTGTGAGAGTGATGAAATGATTCTGCTTCTGTGTTCAGCTTTTGAAAGACTTTTGATTTGTATTTAGACCCTTGGAGGAAACGTTTTTAGGACTTCTGATGTGTTTGACTGACTTTTTCTGGACTGTTTGATTTCTTTGTGGAGGGTAATGGTGCAGTGGTTAGCACTGTCACCCCCCACAGTCCAAAGACAAGCATATTGCAGTTGTGCTAATTGGAGTCTCTACAGTAAATTGACTTCAGGTGTGAGTGTGTAATTTCTGTTTGTCTACCCTGCCTCTTGCCAAATGTCAGCTGTGATGGCTCCAACTCTCTTTCTGACCCTGAAAGGATAAGCAGTATCGAAAAGGATGGATCTTTTGTTGGACTCTTATTGTGCTGATGGAATTTTTGTTGTCTTTCTTTCTCTTGGCTTTTGGCTTTGTGTCTCTGTTGTTTTGCATATTCTTAGACATTTCTTCTTTGTCTTGGTACTTACACCTGTGTCTTATTTCAGATAACTTCCTGCCTTTGTTTACCTGCCTTGCCTTGATTAGTTGTACCTGGGTCTACTTAACTTTGTGTATTTACCTACCATAGTTATTTACCTAAGTCAGAATAAAGATTAGGTTCTGTCCTCACATCGGCAGTTAGATTCTCACCTGATTCGAGACGTGACAAGAGACGGGTGTTTTTACACAGCATTACACAGCAGTTTAGCCCATATTTACCTCTACCAATTGTTTGTCTGTTACCTAGCACCATTGGTCAAAAGCTCCTTGACAGATAACTACAGAACTTGGTGGAAGGATGTCATATGGGTTTGTTGTAGATCAGGATCAGGGGGCAGATCCAGGAATGTTTTTAATTTCCTTTAACATTGTGAGATAGGGCATTTTGTTGACATTTTCACAGATCTTGATGAAATTCAAAGGGACTGTTAGGCCTTAATGGTTGTAATGTGCTCTACTGTGTGCCATTCTTGTTGAAGGTTTTTTTAATACATTGGTTTGTGTCCTTCTTACCTCAATGGGATACAGGGCCATGAGCACAGCAAAGCTACTCAGATGTTCACATGTACACACAGTGTGTGTGGCGTTGGAGTGCTGTTGATAGCAGCCATCTGTGGACCAGGCCTCTCTCTCATTCCAGTAAGCACAGATGAACCTCACCTCAGGGGACTCCTCTGTGTTCTAACACACATAACAAAACCAATATGTTACAGACAGACAGTTTGTTTTATTCACAACCTCATATTTGATTACTCATAATTGTTTAAAATAAGTAACACGGATAGAAGACACTTGAAAGACTGGGACAGGTGGAGCTACCTCTAAATGTCTGAGTGTGATATTGACAGAGCGACTCAGATTCTGAGTGGAGGGATTAGAGACCACAACAGACACAACTCTAGAGAAGATCTGGAAGGACGGATCCATGCCATCTTTTTCTTGTCCTTTAAGCTCCTCAAAAGACCTGTTCACCGAGTTGTGAAGGTTCTTATAGCTCAGCAATGCAGCCAAAGCAAAGCCTGTGAAAAACAAATATATATGGTATTTCACGGTAGTCGTGACTTTTGTCAGAAAAGCAGATGAGACAAAACAGGGGAAGAAGAGTCTACCAGGGTATGTTCCTGTCCCTGATGCTGTTTCCCAGTCGGTGTAGAGTGTTGCGTTCTCATTGGTCAAATGGATCAGTCCATTGGGTCGTGTGTTTCCCCTTTGAACAGCAATCTCTGCATCTATTCCAGCAAATAACTCATTACAAATCAACCTGCACAGTTGAAGTTAGCTTCCAGAAACATTTCTATTTTCATTCATTCATTTATCATTAAAGTTAGTGGCCCATGTGTTCTAATGGGCAGAGCTGTGCTGATGGAAAATGTTACCTGTCTCGGTGGTGTTTATCTTGGTGTGGTTTTTTTTGAGCTGAGGACCAATGAACATGATGGAGTTATCCACTGTGCTGAGCAACACGCTCACATCCTCACCTCTGTCCTGACGACCGGGGGACAGGACGGCATTGGTGGCTGTAAAAAGTTTCTGTTGTAGCACAAAAGTGAGAGGGGGTTTAAGAATATTGCCTGTGTTTTTGTGTGTGCATTAGTGTGTGTGTGTGTGTGTGTCTGATTTTCTGACCGCCAGTAGAGCATCTCCATCACCCATCTCTTCACTGGCAGCACTTCGATTGGACAGAGCCAAACAGCTGTTTCTCATCAGGGACAAAATATTTGCCAAGCCTCCGAGCAGCTGAGAGAGAGAGAGAGAGAATAATAACACCATTCAGCCCGATAGTAAACCTCACATACACTAAACCCTGCAGGGCCACAGTGTGGTCTAACTAATATTAAATAAAGGAAATGCTGATTAACAGGATATTTGACCCCTGGGATGCTGGACTTTAACTAACTCTACATTCGAAGTTGCCTAAAGGAGGACGAAGGCTTGAATAAATCTGGTATAAAACCATAACACGTTTTATTTATCTCTTGACGTTGCAGTTTTACATCACGCTACGTGCAGCTTACCGGTGTAGGTCCACTATCAGCCCTGAAGCCATCACAGTTAAGCTCTGGAAACATGGAAACATCACATTAAAACATGTGAGTTTGATGCTTCATCACAGTATGATTAGAAAGTAGAGGAGTGTTGATACCACTCCTGTTGTCTTGTGATTCATAAACCACAGAGTACTGTGACATTAACAAGTTACCATGAGAAGCAGCATAAAGGCAGAGCGAGCATTCAGAGCAATGAGGCAACTGTGTTACGAAGCTTATGCAAGGAGGATGAGAACAAGTAGAAGCTTAACATGAGGAAATAAAAGCCATTCAAAATGCACTACTATGAAATTAAGTCCATACAGAGGAACAGTGTACACCTACACTAACCTGAACATGGAGTCCTTTTGTTGCCGTAGTTGGTGTATCCTTTTTGACACTTGCACCAATAACTCCCTTCCTCGTTCTTACACAAGCCTCTCTCTCCACAGATGTCCTCTCCATTAATTTCAGCTTTTTGACATTCATTTATGTCTGTGAAAGGATAAGTAGAAACAGTTCTAAATATATAATGTATGGCTTTGGTCCATATTGGAACAAACATCAAAGTATCTGAGGCACAGTGGAGCCATTAGGATCTTGAGAAAGGGTTCTGGACTTGCCTGGATGGGAGATTTTGTTTCATTTCATTCAACATGCAACACTATTCGTATTTGCAGTAGGAAAGAGATGTCTTTATTTTATGATACACTTCATAGCTAAATCTCAATTGAAAAAAATTATGCAGGACATTTCCAAAAATCAGCTCCGGGCAGACAGATTTCCTGTTTTGGAAATGTTCCTTAGGTGGAAGAAAAGAATTAGGCTATTTTAAGTTTTATTTGAATGATAAGGATCTAATAATCTGAGGAGTTGTGAGACTAATCTGACCAGTGACTTGTTGTGGATGTGAACTGTACACGAACTGGACGCATATCCATTTCCTCCCACTGTCCAGAAATGAAGACAAAATATCCCTGATACAAACGCTGCCATCTTACACAATTAGGTTAAGCCTGTGCAACAGCCATCTGGGGATGGAGCCGCAGTAGCAGGGTTCTGCTGACACATGTACTTGACCATTCGAGATTCAGCTGTCAATCATGATGTTTCACCTCGTTTTTGATAGCATCAAGCAACTAATGGAATCAAGAAACTACTATGGTTGTGGCTATTATAAGCAAAAATAAAAGTGCACAGTGTTATGTGTGTTAGTTAGTATTAACGTCTTGTATACGCCAAACAAATGTTTTAAACCGAAACTTTTTACATGCGTTCTTAATGGTGCTCCATCTGGCCATGTCAAAGTGTTGCTTTTCACATATGGACAAGGACAGAATTTTTATCTCAGCTGAAAATCAAAGTTTAGTTGTACGCTCATAAAGTGACAAAATCGCTAAATGTGAAAAAATAAAACTTAAGAAGGAAGATGACAATATGTCAACTTCCACTTTTCATGATTTCCTTGAGTATGTTGTTTTCTCAGCAAAATCCAAGCACAGCAGAACTCTTCTTAAAGTGCAGTCAGGATTTGTGTCCAGGAGGTTTTAGCTTTATTTCTGGATAGTGGGGGGAAGTTGTGTCGACCTTAATATACAGCAACACAAAGCTGTAACTACTCACCTCTACAGACTTCTGTGCCATTGTTGCCGCTGGTGTAACCAGATTCGCAGGTGCACTTGTAGCTCCCAATCAGATTAGAACAATTACCCGCACGGCCGCAGATTTCATCGTTATTCATACACTCGTTCATATCTGACAGAGTGAAGATGGTGGTAACAATGAGCATAGAGAAGCAACTGGTTGCACACACACACACACATTCACACACACACACACACAAACACACCTAGGCACTGTCCACTTGTCAACTCTCCACCGGTGAAGTTGACCTTCCCAAGAGAGTTCTCGAAGCCCTTTAAGCACTGACAGTAGAAACTGCCAATGGTGTTGTGGCAGCTTGTGTGGTTCCCACACTTATTTTGCCAGTCTTCACACTCATTGAGATCTATAGATTTGAATACGAAAAAACGAAGAAGAGAGGAAAATACATCAAAACATGATATTTTAAGCAATCTCTCTAATCAGCATTTTTTCTTCTACCTCCTCTGTGCACCATGATTATCACTCTGAAGTTACAGCACTGCCATCATGCCAGGAATTTGTATTTCTTTTAGCTGCTTGCTTTTGAATTGTGGTGATCGAGGAATTTAAACCTCCTCTATTTATGTTTTCATTGTAAATTGCCCTGGAAATGAGCATTGCTTCGATGCCTAAAAAAGGAAATAACCAAGTGGAGTGTCATCAGAAACATTTGTTTTTCAGGTAAACTCCAGTGACAGAGGGGATAGTTAAAATCAGAGGTCATAGTAGATTATTACCAACACATTTCCCTTGTTTGGTTTCGTAACCGTTAGAACATTCAGGGAAACATTTCTCCAGCATACACAACAAGCCTGCAGGGGAAAAAAAAAAGGCCAGTTAGTTTTATTTTACAATAGAGGGAGACGCTGACAATAGATAGATAGATAGATAGATAGACAAGGGGAAATTCTTGAAATGATGAGGACGACACATTAGTTAACATTTATTAATATTATACCACAAGGGAGGTTTGAAAAGGACACTTCTATTTGAGTTGGCCACTTAAAAAAAACTCATACTAATACTGTAACCATGCTTCCTCATATTTGCCCCTGCAAAAATCCCTGCTCTTAATGCCAAATATTACAAAACATCCTGAGAGTGTTTTTATTCTCAATTTAGGAAGTGATTTTCTTAATCAGGCGCCATGAAGGGTCCTTAATTTACACAGAGGGACCAATTACATATCCAACATCCATGCAAAATTTCTTTAAGGTGCACATTTAAGTCATTTCTTGTTTACTTTTAGCTGATGAATAAATCTTTCCTTGGTCAAGAAGATTGCATCAAAAAAGCTTAGAAAATGAAAATCTTTAACAAAATGTCATATTTATTATTACTATTTGTAAGTAAGTGAGTACTTTATTTAAAACTACAGACAGAACAGGGGCATTTCAGGGGCCAATCAGATTTTAGCCCCCCCCCCCACACCGAGAAATTGGATTTTATTCTAATATTAGCCGAATGCACGTGTTTGTGTGTCTGTGCTGTGTTCATCGGAACATGACTGACAGTGTATCTCTCTCTTTATGCTTGAAATTGAGGGTTTGTACACTGTATGCTTATTATGTAAATAATGTGACTCCCTCCTCCTGCTAAGTTCCACCCATGACTCCCTGTATAATAGATTGTCTCCACACCACAGCAGACACATGTCACATTTCTTTGACTCAGGAGTCACTGGTGCAGCAGAGCACAGATCCTGCTACATATGGTGTAAGTCAGAAAATACATCCAGCTCCCTTCCCTGGGATAGAACACAATAAGCCCTCTGTTGTTGTTGTGTGATGAGGCCGGAGCTCTAACAGTAACACCACTTTACCAAAACCAGACAGAGTGTGTCTGACTGAGTAAAACAGTGGGATTGATTCTAACTTTATCACCACACAACTGCAAACAGACACAAGGCCTGACTTCATGTGACACTGAGTTTCATTCATCAGTAAGAATAGATTGTCTCTCACAGAATCCGTCTCCTCTGTCTCTGTGTAAGCTGTACTTCTCTCTGTCTCCTTCTCTCTTGCTGTTGCTTTACATTTGGGCCTGAGAGAAAGTGGAGGTGCGCAGCTTCTTCCTCTGTGCTCTCCACAAAGTGATTCATGTTTTATTACGTCTCAGCTGGATTTTTGTGAAGCTGTGTTTACAGGCCAGAACCAAAACATGATCGCTCACTCTCAGGGTGTTCAAGAGGCAGCTGCCAGACTCTTGACCAAATCATGTACGCAAGATCGCATCTCCCATATATCAGCTTCCCTTCACTGGCTGCCTGTGTGTTCAAGAATGGATTTTAAATATTGCTGTTGACCTTCATGGCACCAAGCTACTTCACTGAGCTTCTAAATCATTCCTCCCCAATATACTGTATAATGATGAGGCCATGATAGATATTCCTCGGTCAAGACTGACCAAAGAGGACCAGGCTTTAACATGCTTGTTTTTATCTATTATAATGTTTCTTTTAGCCTGTTCTTTTTATCATTTTATTTCTTGACTTTGATTTTTTAGATTTTATATTAGACTATATAATTAGCTGTCTCCGATTTTGAATCTTTTATTATTATTTAATCATTTAAATAAGTTTTTGAATTATGATTATTCTAGTTGTCTTCTATGTTTTGTAATGAAGTGCGGTGCTATTTCAACTATTTCATTATTGTAATGATTTTAACTATAATTATTATAATTATTATTAATACTCATTTCAGAAATTAGGGTAATTTGTGTTTCTGTAAAGCTTTAAAAAAACGGTTCTGAGAAACAATAATTCCTCTTTAGTTGGATTTATTTTTTATTGATCATAATTATAACCTATTCTTTTTTCGTTTTGTGTTTTTTCTTTGCTTCAATATAGATTTATTGAAAAAAGCAGCTAAACAAAATCTTTGGATTAAAAACTTATGTAATATTGTCATGCTGAAATATTTTTGTGCTATAATTGACTTTTGACCTTTGGTAATTGATTATCTACACAGTATCTTGTGTTGTAATTGCATACTAGGTTTCCTATACAGTATATGCCAAAGCCAAAGAGTTCAAATCTAATAATATATTATCTAATACTGTGGCAACCAGTTTCGATTTACACATCTAGCAGTGTTGCTACAAACATGAACTAAACAGTGTGACCCAAAAATTATGCTTTAGCTGTGAAATCAAACTGTGGCTTGAAGATAAAATACACTTATAAATAAAGATTATTACTTTGTATTAAGCATTTTGTTTTACATCACAATTTGCACACATATATCAACTATCATAATACATAAAGGCTACGGTCTGTATAATATTTTAAACATTGTGAAACATGGTAATGGTGTGTATTTGATAAATAGCATGAACTTTGGTCCTAGTACTGTGTGTTTTAATATAACAATCAACATATATCTCTCTATATAATAACATAATTTAATAACATTTCTATATACTAAATCATCTATGGCAGCCTATACTGATGTAACCACCTTAACTTATTCACAAATCTGCCAAGTGTATAATTCTTCCAATCAGGTTTGTGGTTTGTTTAGAAAAGGCTCATGTATTCTTCCTGTGGTGACTCTGCGGCTGCCATCAGGCCTTGTTGATTCTGACTGACATGTTCAGTGCAGCATCAGTGCAGTGACAGAGGTTTTTACAACACAGCAGCCACCCTGACCTCCATCCACACTTCACCACTGTTAACACGGCTGCACAGCGCTCAGTGCCTGACAGGGTTAACATCACTGATGCTGCCCAGGTGAACAACAGTCAGCTTTTTTATCCATCCATCCATTATCTATTTATCACTTTAAGGGCAGTGGAGGGGATGCAGCTAGAGAGGTAGGTCTGAATATAAAGAGGAACAACCATTCACCCATTTGGTCAATCTAGAGTCTCCAATGCACCTAACACCTACTGTATCTACGTGACTTTGTACTGTGAGAAGAAGCAGGAGATGAACCACAAAGACACAAGGAGAACATGCCAACAACAGAACCAGGGTTCAAACCAAGAACTTGGAGGCTCTTCTAATGGGATATACTATGTCTGCTGAAGAAATAAGGGGAAGTAAATTAACTGAAGTCTAACACAATGTCTAAACTTCCATGTACATTTCACGAAACCTTCCCACACACACACACACACACACACACACTCACACACTTACCGAGAATGAGTAGCTCCTTATTCCCTACCCCCATGGCAGAGGCAAACAGTGTCCCACACGGAAGACAACTTTGTCAGAACAATGTATTCAGTTGTTGATGTCCAGTGATCAAAGTATTAGGTAATCTCACAAAAAAGTCCAGAGAGATATTAGGATTTTCAGATGCAGCTGTTGTCCAAGAGCAGCGCAATCCACAAAGTATGAATAAAAGTGTAAAAGTATTGAAAAAGACTAATGTAAAAGATGAGTCCTGGATGTAGAAGTTATATTTATATTTTTTGTGAGGGAGGAAGCATAACAGTGAACCTTCAACAGCATTCTTCCTCTCTGATTCAGATTCAGACTCTCAGTCTGAGCACACCCTGCCCACCCCCCCCCCCCCCCCCCCCCCCCCCCTGCTCTCTCTCTATGTTTCCCTCCCCTTCTCTTATGAGTGTGGCTTTTACTCCTTCAGAGTGCTCCTTCTTGCTCTTTTCCCTCGCTCTGTTTCTTTTTCCATGTGTCTCTCACAATGGCAACGTATCACATTGCCCTGCACAAACCCCTCCTCTGTCTACACCACGGTCTTCCACATCCCCCCCCCCCCCACGCYCCAATGTGGCCTCTATTTCATGAGCTATTTAGGAGACTCTCATGAGAGAGAGAGAGAGGAGGGGGGGCACAGAGACTGGAGAGAGGCCGATGACTAACACTCAATCCAAACAGCTGCTGCTTTACTTGAGTTTTGTCAGTAATCATAGATTCATTCCCCTGTATACTCCCTCGATTCTTACTCCATCCAAACCGCCTACTTCCGTTCTCAGAGTTCAGCCTTTCACCCAGTGCCAGACATGTTCTCACAGACAGAGGACAGAAGCAGGATAAATGAAGTACTTAGAATGGCCTGAGTCTCTGAGTTATACCTACTAAAGAACATTATCAGTTCATCAAGGAGAAGATTCATAATGACTCATCAAGCACAGTTGTTAGTTTTAACTTTAAATGAGTTAAGCACCTTTTAATGTCACTACAGTGACAATGACAATAAAGTCTTATCTTATCTTATCTTATCTTCTGTATGTGAGAAAGCAATAAAAGTCTGAATGAGTTGCTCAAGGACATTCTGCTGAGTTTTTAGTCTCAGCCTCCAGGGGAAAACTCTGGATAATGACACCATGTGGGAAAACAGGATGAGTGCGAGAGAATTCACCGTGGGTGGGCGCATTAATGACGTTTCTAATACGCATCCATATCCATGACATTGCACCTCTGTCATCCACAGTGTCCACAGTCAGCTGTAGAGACTGACCAATAGACAGAGCAACCTACTGATGACGTTCACCGTTGTCTGAGGGTTAAGGCAGACGTAATGAGAGGTTAGAAACTGTAACACTGGACCAACGAAGGAATCAGAAGATCAGAATTGAATTGAAACTGTTTGCAAAAGGCAGCTGTTAGTAACGCAATAGATTGCATAGTCTCCTGAAATTATGTTGTAAGTGAGAACGCATAAAATGACAGAGTTGGCCTTAGTTGACCTGGAGTTTTTTCTCCCAGCCCAAGTTTTCAAAAACGTGATGTATGCAAAACTGTATGCATAAACACAATTACTACAGATATCTCAGGACGAAAAAGAGGAAGCATGCACGCAGAAGACGCAGACAAAGATGTCAACAGAAAGACGATAACATTCAAGAGGTTTGACATATTCAAGCTTGGCCCTTTGACTTTAATATTCTTCAAATGATATTTTATCTGGACTTATGATTGAACCAGATGAGTTTAAGGTAGGTCCAAGCTCTGTGAGACTGTGAGTCACCTGATGGAAAAATTAATAGGGCGCAAGAAAATAGCTCCTCCCAGCTCACAGCTCTATACAGTTAATATGAAGAAGTAGACTAGCATTTAGTTCTAACTCTGGCTGCTTAGCGTAACATTACACACTCATATTTTCACATAACTTCGTTTGACATTTCAGAAGAGTTTTAGGGGAATAAATGACGTTGATGTTAATGTAACAATACCTTGGATAACTGATGAGACACTTGCCCAATCCAGTGAAGAGCAGAACAGAGCTGCAGTGTTTCAAATATGACATACAGCACTTTTCTTACCAAAGTTAGAAAGTTCTTCACAGAAGAAAAAATGGAGTAGATATGGTATTGTCCAGGATCAGGTGACATTAGGAAATATTACAGTGGATGTGTTATTTCTGAACATGCCTTTTATAATGCTCCATGTGAAATCCAAGAAGACAAATGCAGCGGGTCAATTTTATGCTCTTGGCCTTCTGTTATAAATAGCATTCCCTTACTACTGTAGGTAGAGAGCCACATTGCTTGGCATGCAGCAGAAGTTAGAGCACATAAACACTTACACATTTGCTCTTGTGTTTTGAAATAAATGCTGATTACTAGTTAGAACTCTGTTTAAATACAGAGTACTGCTCTTACAACCCTCTGCCTGCACATTAGCAAATGGTCAGATGACACATCACAGCACGGCTGACCCAAAAACAAGTAAAACAACAGCTGCTGTGAAGGAGAGGACCCAGGAATCCAGATGGGAGGAGGATAAACCAAAGACATTAACTGAGAGTAAGAGGACAGTGTACATAACAAACAAATGTAAGTGTAGGTAGGTGAGTTGTCATACACTAACCTACACATTTCTTTGATTTATGTGGAGATAGCGGAAATGCTCAGAGATCAGATGTTCTTGTTGCAAACAGCAGTGACTGATGCAGAACCGCAGCATACAGTTGCAAAACATATCCTGCTGTATAACACTTTCCACTACAGGCTGATGGTCTATCTTCAGATGCAATCTCATACATGGTGAGAGAAACTCAAGCTGATACGATCTCTTTTCCTCCCCTCAGTCTCTTATCGTCTCTCTGTCTTGGTTTTGCTAAGCACCGACTTGACTCTGTTGCAGTTTTTAATCATATTCTTGCCGACAGAGCAGAGGGCCAGACACACAGAGACAAATGAGCAGACGCATGGAGACAGAGCAATCACGAATCGCTTGGAGGCAGGAAGAGGATGAGAGAATAAAAGTTCATGTCCCTTCAACATCTGTAATAAGAGCAAGTTAAAAAAAAAGGCAGATGCAGCTTGTTAACAAAGTGCTGGTGTGTGTCTTTGTGTGTGCTTTATTTATTTTTGTTATGTCTTTGGGACTTTTTTCAGTTATAAACAGTGACCTGGTCTGGACCAGAAGACCTTATGGGGACCAACACCTGGTCCTAATGGGACAAAACATCATGTCTGTGCTCCTGGTTAAAGAGATAGTTCACCCAAAAATGAAAATTCACTCATTATATACAAGTATACCAATGGAGGGGTGGGTGAAGAGTCCACAAAAAACATTAGGAGTTTCAGGGGTAAACATCGTTGCAGCCAAATCCCAAAAAATTGGTGACCATTGGTTCAAATGTAAAATATTGAATGCCTCCATACTGCTTGTGTGGTCTTATCCAAGTGTCCCTAAATGGAGGCATTTTAAGTTTGTTTTTTTAACGTTTGAAAAAGCGGTCGCCAATTATATTGGATTTACCCCTGAAACTAACGTGTTTTTTCACTTCACACACGCCTCCTTCGGAACAGAGGTGAGTAGCTAATGAGCACATTTTCATTTTTGGGTGACCTATCCCTTTAAGGTCAGTGGTAAGAAGTGAATAGTGGTTAGGTTAAGGTTTGAGTAAGGCATGTATCGGTCATGGTTAGGGTTAGGGAAAGATTTTGGTCAGGCTGTCCACAATAAATGGAAGTCACTAACGTCTCCTAGCAGTGCAAACTTGTGTGTGTGTGTTTAGATGGTGTTTATCCATTGAGCTCTTTTTTGCCTCTCATTGAGTCAGGCAGTTGAAACCAACTGTAACTTTATCTGCAGCTGAACTACATGGTGTGTGTGTGTGTGTGTGTGTGTGTGTGTGTGTGTGTGTGTACGTCTGTCCACTGACCAGCAGTCATAACCAAAAAGGAGAAATGACAAAAATGTGTTTCATTTGTACAAGACTTACTGGATATAAGGAAGCTGTTGCACTTGACCTTCTCCTTGTGATCATAAATCATGTTTAAAACAAGCAGAGTTGACCAAAGTACTGTACAAAAAAATCAAAGAATAGTTAAAGCCACCTAATAAGCCTGGGATTCATTCACAAACACTTTGTTGAGGGCTGTTCAGGAGAGTTTGACACATTATAATTTGGTGACTGATTTAATAAAATGGCTCAACCCAAGAACAGAGGACTGAGTTCTGACTCAGCTCATTGCTGCTCTTGTTCCGACTCGCGTAATGCCCAGAAATACACCTAAAACTTCCACATTAACTTTTCTACTTGAGTAAAAGCTAATACTAAAAACTAAATACGTACAAGTAAAGGTCTACTGCATCATTATTGCTGAGTCTCAGCCTCAGTTCATTTCAGGTGTTTCTTCACCAGTGATGCTGCTGCTGCAGGTTCAGTACTTTCATCAGAGGAGGCGGGGCCTAATGTTACCTGCCCACTCTGATTGGATCAGTGAGTGGAGTAAAAAGTACAGATATGTGCAGATTAATGTAATGGAGTAAAAGTGAAAAGTAACGGAAAGTACAGATACATGAAAATTGTACTTACGTACAGTAATGAAGTAAAGTAAAGTAGTATTTTGTTACATCCTACTACTGGTGATGATTTGCACATATTTCTGTTGTATTTAATGTTTCTGCAGAATCAAATATTTATCAATGTTTGTCAACTTATCCACCATTTGTTTTATGAGAAGTTAATACAAGAGAGATCTTGCAATACAAAAGCATTAGCAAAAAAAAATCATAACCAAACTGATACTCTCCCCTCACCGCCTTTCTTTCCTGACAAAGCATGTGTGCACCATCCGTCCATCTAAAATAAATAACTTATTGCTCCAGGTGTAAACACATGTGCAGATTTGTCTTTGATAAACATGACGTACCTGATGGTTTTTCCCAACTTCCTCTCATTTCGTTTTTTGTTTCCACACAGCCTGACTCACCAGAAGGAGAAGTTACATGTCTGCAGTATTTTACAATTGTTCTTACTGTTAGGGTGGGACCCCAATCCAACCATGGGGCATGGGAGAGAGCAAACGCTTCCCACTCAGGGGTGACAGGGGAATGAAATATTAATCCGCTGCTGTCAACTACAGACCAACTGTCAGTGACAGTGTAGGATAACAAAATTCATCGCCATGGCACGTCAACGTTGCTCCACTGTTACATCACATGACTATATGGTGGAAAGTTCCAGGACTTTGAATTAATGCTGTGGAATAAAGCTTTATAATACTGACCGATGTTACAGATGTTA